AATCTCCCATCAACCCGAGGGTCTTTTGGGACTCTAGCAATACGGCACAGCCGAGTGATCAGCGAAGGGAAGTAGTGGCCCTTGATTAGCTCAGGTGATCGGATGAACATCTCTTCATGGATGAGCCGGGCCACATCAAAATCACTGTAGGACATGAAATAGTGTATTGCCGACTCCCGTGGTAGATTAACATCTGTCGTGTTGCTGGATGGCAACAATCGACTGTTGACAACGGTGAGCCAACACTTAGCCTGCCAATTCAGACAGTGGGAGTTAAGTGTAATTCTGGGCATGATCCATAGGGGTTCTCCGTCCGGCACACAGATAGTATCAAGAAGAGTTTCCCACAAGAACCGTGCACCGCTAAAAGTATGATAATCATCAACTTCACCCCTGAACACTGGCAGCCTGTATACCCTACAAATAGTGTTGAGGGGTGCATTTACCGGGGTATTGCGCACCGTCACAACCCCATTCTCATGTTCTGGCAAGTTCGCATAGAACTCCCTTACTAGCTAAACATTAGCCTCCTCCGGTACCTCGAAGAAGATGTCCAGCTGACACCGCCTCAGCTCATTAAACATATTGGTGCATTCTACCTCCAAAGCAGGGCGATCAATGTGCACCTCATGTTATAAGTTCTTAGCTTCTTTCTGGTTATACCTATCCTCTGCTGCTTTGGATACAATCCGAGTGCTATCGAACTGAGGTGCGCCGGCTTGGCTCCTAGCTCGTGAGGAACCTCCCGGTCCACTAGTGGAGGGCCCGATGTTTCGTCTCTTTCTAGTTGAACTTATTGCACCTGTCAAACAACGAGATACCTATTAGTGAGTGTGAAAAATATGTGACTATGGATGGTTACTCAGTCTTCACCATAACCATGTCACAATAGCTCCTTATATCTCTATTGGGGCAATTTCCCAAACACCTTGTGGGCGGGGCATTATCCAAACACATTTAACCCTCATGAGTCTATCAAAACTCCTCCCAAATCAAGTATACAACTACACCAACACACCCCACACTTGTGTCATTCAATCACCCACCAACAAACACCATTCCAATCATTAATTACACAGCCCCTTCACCAAACATTCTCAAAAATGAAATTAAAATAGAAAAAAAAACAAGAAGAAGAAACTACCAAAAACAATATACTACAATTACAACACCATATCAACCTCAAACAATCATAACAACAACAAAATACAAAAGGAAAAGAGAAGGGAGGGTTAGAATCATACCTTATGGGAGGAAGGAGGAGAGGAATGTAGATAGGGGGTAGTGTGTGTGAAGGAGAAGAAAAAGAGGAGAGGAATTGGAGAAGTTAGGGTTTAGAGAGAGAGAGAGATGGAGAAATTTGGGGGAGGGGGATCGGGTAATGCAAAGTTAGGAGGGGGGTGGGTTTTAAAATTAAAAGAAGAAGAAAAGAGAAAAAAATGAAAAGAAAAAAAAATAAAAATACCTGGTACCCCCGCGGTCGACCGTGGTCCACCACGGCCACGGTGGGTTTAAAAAATTGAGGCAGAATGTTTACGCCTCACCGCAGTTTACCACGGTCCACCGCGGTCGCGATGGGATAAAAAATTCGAGGCAGAATGCTTGCCGTCCACCGTGGTTCACCGCAGTCGCGGTGCTGGCGTTTTTTTTAAGTTACATGAACACACTAATCAACACACTCGTGGGTTGTCTCCCATGCAACGCCTGATTTAACACCGCGGCACGACGCAAGCATTTGATCATCACTCCTCATTCGCGTAGTGGGGCTCTCCCAAAGTGATTACCACTCTATCCCCTTTTTCTTAAGCCATTCCAAGGTAATGTTTCAACCTTTGCCCATTTACTGTGAACTTGTTTGTCCCATCTTCTAATTCAATCTCTACAGCTCCACTTAAGAACAATTGCACCACTCTGAAGGGTCCTGGCCATCGGGACTTTAACTTACCTGGGAACAATCTCAATCTCGAGTTGTATAACAACACTAGATCTCCGGGTTTGAAGTTTCGATCCAAGATGTGCTTATCATGCATTAATTTCATCCTTTCTTTGTATAATCTAGCACTCTCAAAGGCCTGGAACCTGAATTCCTCTAGCCCATGTAACTCAGTGATTCTGTTAGTACTTGTTTTCTCCATGTCTAAGTTTAACTGCCACAATGCCCAAAGTTCTTTATGCTCTAGCTCAACTGGGAGGTGGCATGCCTTGCCAAATACCAACTTGTACGGTGACATACCAATTGGGGTTTTGAAGGCTGTGCGGTACGCCCACAATGCATCATCCAACTTCTTTGCCTAGTCAGTCCTTGTTGCATTTACTGTTTTTGTGAGGACATTTTTAATCTCCCTGTTGGACACTTCAACTTGCCCGCTCGATTATGGGTGGTACGGGGTGGTAACTTTATGACGAACTCCATATTTTTCCAACAACCGTGCGAATGCTCTATTGCAGAAATGGGTTCCGCCATCGCTGAGTATAGCTCTTGGGGTACCAAAACGTGTGAATATGTTCTTCTTTAGAAAACCTAGTACCCCTTTAGCATAATTGGTTGGAAGAGCCACTGTTTCGACCCACTTGGAGACATAGTCAACTGCTACCAATATGTACTTGTTACCATACGAGCTGACGAATGACCCCATAAAGTCAATCCCCCACATGTCAAAAATCTCCACCTCTTGAATTGTGGTCATTGGCATCTCGTGTCTACGAGATATCTTGCCAGTTCTTTCGCATTTATCACAGCTTTTAACCCAAGCATGGGCATCCTTGAACAGAGTAGGCCAGTACAAGCTTGACTCCAACACCTTAGCTGCTGTCTGAATTCCTCCAAAGTGTCCACCATATGTTGAAGAATAGCAAGCCTGCAAAACAGAATGTTGATCTTTCTCGGGGATACACCGCCGAATTATGTTATCTACACATATTTTAAACAACACAGGTTCATCCCAATAATAATACCGACAATCACGAAAGAACTTTTTCTTTTGTATTGAGGAGAGTTCATAAGGTACAATACCACTTGCTAAATAATTAGCAATATCAGCATACCATGGTGCCTCCTCCATTGTCATTGCCAGTAACTGTTCATCCGGGAATGTCTCTGTTATATCCTCAACCTCTACCTTCTTTTCAGCTCCTTCCAACCATGAGAGATGGTCAGCTACTTGGTTCTCTGTCCCTTTTCTGTCACGTATCTCCAGATCGAATTCTTGCAACAGAAGAACCCAACGAATCAAGCGTGGCTTTGACTCCTTCTTTTCTACCAGGTACCTAATTGCTGCATGGTCAGTGTAAACAATAACCTTTGAGCCAATCAAGTATGACCTGAATTTGTCGAATGCAAAAACAACAACCAACATTTCCTTTTTCGTCACGGTGTAATTGAGTTGTGCACCGCTTCGTTCTGCTTGCATAGTAAATGGGGTGCATCAGTTTATCCTTTCGCTGCCCCAGGACTGCTCCTATGGCATAGTCACTTGCGTCGCACATGAGCTCAAATGGCTGCTCCCAGTTGGGTGCAACAATGATGGGTGCAGTCACTAATCGCTTCTTCAGCTCCTCAAATACCAACCTGTAGTCATTAGAAAACACAAAGGGGTTATCCTTTTCAAGGAGTTTGCATAATGGGTTAGCAATTTTGGAGAAATCTTGTATGAATCGTTTGTAAAACCCGGCGTGCCCAAGGAAACTTCTCACCGCCTTGACTGAAGTGGGCGGTGGTAGCTTTTCAATCACATCAACCTTAGCATGGTCGACCTCAATTCCTTTACTAGACACTCGATGCCCCAGGACTATCCCTTCCTGTACCATAAAATGGCACTTCTCCTAGTTCAACACTAAATTTGTCTCCACACATCTTTTGAGCACTCTTCTTAAGTTGTGAAGACAGTCCTCGAATGAATTTCCCACCACGGAGAAATCATCCATAAAGACCTCCATAATATCCTCCACCATGTCTGTGAAAATGGCTAACATGCACCGTTGAAATGTCGCTGGTGCATTGCAAAGCCCAAAAGGCATTCTCCGAAAGGCTAAGGTGCCATACGGACAAGTGAAAGATGTTTTCTCTCTATCTTCGGGGGCTATTGATATCTGATTGTACCCCGAATATCCATCCAAGAAATAGAAGTGCGATCGCCTGGCCAGCCTGTCCAACATTTGGTCAATAAAAGGCAAGGGGAAGTGGTCCTTCCAGGTGGATGTGTTCAATTTTCGGTAATCCATTCAAATTCTCCATCCCGTGACTATACGAGTTGAGATCAACTCATTGTTCTTATTTTGCACAATAGTCATTCCCCCTTTTTTCGGCACACATTGGACAGGGCTGACCCAATTGCTATCAGAGATGGGGAAGATGATTCTCGCATCTAACCATTTGATCATTTCCTTCTTTACTACCTCTTTCATGTTCGAGTTCATCCTTCATTGATGTTCTGTGGAAGGTTTGTACCCTTCTTCCAAGAGAATCTTGTGCATACAGAAGGCTGGGCTGATACCCTTTATGTCTGCCATGGTCCAGCCAATGGCAGTCTTACTTTCCTGCAGTACCTGTAAGAGCTGTTCTACCTGCACATCTAGCAAACCGAATGATATAATAACAAGAAAAGTAGAATCAGGGCCTAAGAAAACATACCTGAGGTGAGCTGGGAGCGGCTTCGGCTCCAGCTTGGGTGGTTCCTCTACTGATGGCTTTGCTGGAGGTGTAACCTTTTTTTCTAACTCAAGGGACTCGAACTGAGGTTCCCTTTTCCAGAATCCTTGGCCTTAAAGTGCCATGACCCACTCAGCTAACCCTTCACCATCCATCTCTTCTAAATTTGTCAGACATGCCTCCAATGGATCTTTAGCAGTCAAGGTCACATCATCTTTTTGCGGGATCACATCCACTGCCTCCACTAGAGAGCAATTAGCATATTCACTGGGTCTCTTCATAGATTGTTGAACATTGAATATGACTTCTTCATCGTTCAGTCTCATTTTTAATTCCCCAGTCTCACAATCTATCAGTGCTCTCCCAGTGGCCAAAATGGCCTACCTAAATTGATAAGTATCTCCTCATCTACCTGACAGTACAGAATAACAAAGTCTGTAGGGAACACGAACTTCCCAACTTGCACCAACACATCATCAAGAATCCCAGTAGGCCTTTTTATCGTGCGGTCAGCTAGCTGCAGCAACATTGAAGTCGGTCTAGCTCTGCCAATGCCCAGTTTGGTGTATACAGCCAGAGGCATCAAATTTATGCTGGCTCCCAAATCACATAATGCCTTTGCAAAGGCATAACTCCCAATCGTGCATGGAATAGTGAAGCTACTTGGGTCGGACATCTTTTGAGCCATTGGTCTGGTCACTACTGCGCTGCAGGTCTGCATCAGAGTCACTGTAGATAGGTCCTGAAAATCAAACTTCCATGACAATAGGTCTTTCATCATCTTCTCATAACCTGGCATCTCCCTCAAGGCATCCATCAAAGGAATATTCAACTGAATTTGACGCAGCATCTCCTTGAATTTCTTGTATTGATGTTCCTTCCTTTGTTTTACCAGTCTCTGAGGGAATGGTACATGTATCACCCTTTGTGCACTGCTTGCTGGCTTCTCTCTGTTGGGGTTCTGTGGCATAAAAGGCACCACCTGTTCTGCAGCTTGTTCATTTACCTTAGCCTTACCCTTTTCATCTTGACCCTGTTCAACCACCACTTCAGTCAGATTTGATGGTTCATCTACCTATAGTGGAATTGGAGTGGTTGGCGTAGTCTCTTTGCTGGCTTGTGCAACCTCCTGCTCTTTGTCTAAATCTCTCCTATTCCGGAGACTTACTACCATCAGCTGATTCGGGTTTTGCTCCTTGGGGTTAATATTTGTGTCCACTAGCAATGTTCATTGGGGGCGGTTGTTTAAAGCCATAGACAACTGGCCCAACTGAGTTTTAATATTCTTTATAGCTGAATCATGTACTGCCAACTTTTCTTGCATCTTACCATTTGTCCCAATGAGTTGCTGGAGCATCCCCCTGATCTCTACCATGTTGTTATCTTGTTACTGAGGAGGTGGTTGATATATCAGCTGTTGCTGGTTCTGCTGTGGGTAGCCCTATTGCCTCTGATGGTATGGTACCATTTGGCCTTGAACTTGCATGCCCCCAGGCTGAGGCATGTTGGGTCTGTATTGCTGATTT